GTTGACATCTAATATAAACTTTTTGCTTTTAAGATAAAAATCCACCTAAATATCAACTTTTGTGGCTCATGATTGTCATTGAGATTTTTGTAATTAAATAAAAAATGTTTTAGATGTTAAATAGTTGATATCCAACACTTTTTGATAAATTTCCCTAACATTTGAAAAGGTAATTTCTCTTGCCATTTACAGGCAATTGTGGGATATTCACCATTATTTTCTCGAGAGGGGATTTCACAGGAGAGAAACAGAGTGAAAAGAATGGCAATTGCACAAAGAGAGAGAGAAAGTGAGAGGGTTATAATTGAAGACTGATCTTGCTTAACTGGATCTTGAACTGCAACCTCCCCTGTAACTTCACACTGTATACAAAATGGCTCTGGTTTTTTTTGTTTTTTAATGTTCTTTCAGAACCACTGATGCCTTTATACAATGGAGTGTTCAAAATTTCAGCCTCTGCATAGGCCGGGCCTCTCTTGGTGTTCACAAGCTGCAGCAATCCTCGACATAGACAAAGAACAATGACTGCTTGCATCACTCTTCCTCGACGGCATCAACTGTGACTGCTTACAGTAAGCAATGGCCCCCTGTATCGAGCACTCCACCTCTGAGTTTGTACTGCTGCTCCTCTTAAGCACCACCCACTCTCCCCCCAACATAAGAGAAGAGGAATTAGAGAGACAAGGAGGAGGAGGAGGGGGAGGAGCATGCCTGTGAGTTGCAGAGTTCAAATGGGTTTTAGTGGCGCCAGAAAAAGATCTCCTGTGTGTCTCCAAACCATCAGCCAATGCCAAGGAAGATGACTTCTCTTCCTTGGTGGTTTTCCTTGACAATGACTGGTAATAGCTTTCTCTCTCTATCTGCCCAAATGGATTCTTCTTCTTCTTTTTCACACTGGAAGAATTCGGAGGAGGGGGAGGCGGCTGCTTGCAGTGAGGTTGGCTCGGCTCGTTGCCGGTTAACCTGGTGAAGAGGGACTTAATATAAGCTCTGGATGCCTTGAGCTTGAGACCCAGAGAAGAGTAAGGATTAATCAGCTTAAGCTTCTTAGACCACTTCTTCTTAGTTTCCACCCCTTCTTCCTCCCCCTCTCTCTCTAAAGCAATGGAAGTGTACAAGGTATCCTTGGCATCGAAATATCTCACATCGAAGTAGCATTCGGGCTTGAGCTCACCGCTAACATGGCAGGAATCCAAGGGTGTGGCGTCGCAGGATTCAAAAGGAGTGGCTCCCTCTGATAAAGAGAGGGGGGGGACAATGGAAGAAGCATCAGCTGAGGTAGTCTGATGTTGTTGTTGCCTCGAAGACGAAGAGATGAGGAGGGAATGGAGCATATGGAGGCGAGGCGGGAGGTGGAGGGGGAGGAGGTTGCCCATGTAGAAGAGCTCATCAGCAGGGGAGGGTGCAGAGTGGTTGTTGTGGTCCGAACCAGAGTTGGGGCGGTGGAAATCAAATTCTATAGTGCTGGTGGAGGTGGTGGTGGTTTCAATGGGGTGTGTGGAGCTCACCTCCATGTCTATGTACTCTTCTTCCACCCCACATTGGCTACTCTGCATCCTTCTACTGGTTTGAGAGAGAGAGAGAGAAGTATACCTCTTCTTACAGTGCTCTTTGTTTAGGCCTACCCCACTTTCTTCCTCCTCCAATCTCTGCCTTATCTTGCATTCTCTTCCTCTACCTCTACCTCTACCTCATTGTTGGTGCTCTGTTTCTGATGGTGGTGGTGGTGGTGGAGCTTAAATGGGCAGGGGATGACAAAAGAGAGGAAAAACAATTTGGGGAGGAGGGTGGGGGGGGGGGGGGGGGAGAAGTGTGATAAAGAAGACAAAATTTTATGAAAATTTTGGGAAATTGGGAGGAAAATGCATGGGCCAGCCCCTTGACTTGCCACATCTGTGCTACCCAACCCACAGCACCTCTGCCCTGAGCCCCTCCCAGATTCCAAGCTCCATCATTTATTTTCCCCTCTCTCCATTATTTCTCGACAACTATTCTCTCTCCTCCACATGTTCCCGTTCTCTCTCTTTTTGCCATGGACCACAATTTATCATGGTATCAGACATTTCTCCCTCACTTTCTCTCTCTATGATAGTCTCTATCGCGGTATCCCAATATTCTATCCGACAATCTCAAAGAGAGCGTGTGATTGCGTGCAGAGTATGATGGATGATAAGAAGATTAGAGGAGGTTAGCAGTACTCCGTCGTCCGTACAACGCTTTATACGTGGGCTTAGGACTTAGATTTGTTAGCTTGGATTTAGAGTGAGGATAACATCGTATTAGATTTCTAGAAGTAAAGAACGATGGGTGCGGTTTGTGGAGAGCCTAGGCTCTAAACAATCAACATAAAGCGTACCTTATAATAGTGTCGACAATTATGGTTTCAATACCGAAAATCTTTGTGATAGCTTTGAAATACATTTCATCTTTAATTATAAAATTTAAGGGCAAGCTTTCTATGCTTCTCTTAATGCATAAAATTTATATACTCCCTTTATCCAACCGTCCATTCTGAATGGAGGGCTAAGATTGTTCCAATCACAATGTCACGTCTCTACACTATTTTACTTTTAATTGTTTTCTTATAAACTATTTTGACACCAAATTTGGGACATCAAATCCTCTATTAAACTCATACTAGCAAAAAATATAAAAAAAAAATATTTCCAATAAAATAAATGATCAAAATACCCCTGAAAGTTTAAAGGGGTATTTTGGTTATTATATTTTATTGAAAATTTATTTTTAATATTTTTTATAGGTGTGCCCCATTGATAAGATGGTATGTACCAAATTTCATAGTCGTACAATTTGTATAAAAAATACTAAAAATAAAATACTTTGGGACGTCAGATCTAAGATCAAAAGATGAGTGGCTCTCTTGATCAAAATTGGACGGCTAGATGGTAGGAGAAGCATAGATATTCTATGCTATAGGGGAAGTATAGAAACCTTTTTCAAAATTTAAAGCTTCAAAAATAGTGTAGATCGAACAAATCTATGAAAACTTAAATTTGATTGTTTAGAGCCCGGCTCTATATAAACCTTTTTCCAAGAAAGATTGGCTCTCAAATTGATTATCACACAGCAAGTACTCAAATATAAGAGGAAGTGAAGCTACTCTTGCTCGAGCATAATGTATAATTCAACGTTTTAAAATCTAGAAAAATGGTTTGGATTGCCTTTAACAATAATAATAATAATAAAATAAATAGTAATAATTATATTATTATTATTATTAAAATACATAATAATAATACTAATAATAATAATAATATTATTATTATTATTATTATTAAAATAAATAATAATAATAATAATAGTAGTATCAAAGAAGAGGGAAATATGATATTGTTTATAGGTTTTGACATCGTTGTTGTGATTGTTGTGGCTTGAGTGGTTGCTGCACAAGAGAGCGAGAGATATTCCAACAAGTTTTGGTTTATTGGGTAAACAATTTTAAGGAGCAAAACCAATATTTGTAGTCCACTCAGAAACATTGGGGAGTTAGGAAAGATAATGGGAGGCAACAACCTATAAAAAGGGGGCTAAGGGACGAGTGGCTAACTGGGTCAAGGGCTGCCTCCATTGGATGGGATTGATGGGCCATCTCTCACAAAGAGATGTGTAAATAATAAATTATAAAATATACAATTTGAATAAAATAAAAATAAAAAATTAACTCATGCAGTTTATAGGCAGAACTTATGTTATCTAACAAAACTAGGTAGTACCCATTAGGAACCGCCCAATTCTCGATGTAAAGGGAACCGGACGGCTTCTCTTGAAAACCTATCTGAATAAGGCAATTTTGATCCAAATCGATGTTTTCTTAGTATAATTAAACCTCTTGCAAGAGCGATATAGGAAGGTAATTTCAATTTTAACTTTGAGCTAAGAATCACCATAGGATTATTTTCAAAGAAATTGATTTTTTGTTTTAAAAACTTAGTTTTGACTATTTTTTGTTCAATTTTAGGATTTTATATTAGACTGTCTCTTTTCAAATTTAGGATGTTATGTTTTTCAAACACATGGATTGTGCCTTCAAAATTTTCTTCTTTTTTTTCCCTTGGAGTTGGTCCCTAGGTCGAAAAGGTAACACTCCAAAGTTTCAAATTTTAAAATAATATGAAATTGGGGTTAGGGCACAGAATCTTTTGTCAAAAGAATTCAATAGAAAAAGTCATTAGCCGGTTGTCGGGTGGGACTTAATTTTTGTGATTTGGATTATACCCATAAAACATTAGAGATTGATTTTATATTGCTACTTTCAAGACACCCACCCAAAAAAAAAGAAATAGAATGGTAGCATTTTTTTAGTTTTTATTTGAAATTTGAAGGAGAGATGAGTTGGAATCTCAAAATCTGGTTTTCCGCGCATTATCTCCACGCTTTTCATCAGCTTTACTACTCTTGCCATTGTTATTTTATTATTTGCTTTCCATATGCTTTTCGCTAACTTTCCTTGGTTAGTGATACATCTTGTCAGTTTTTTTATTATTTGGGCGCGCCAGCTCGGACTCGCCCAATCTCGGAATTGGTTGTGCAAATTGGGGATCTTAAAAAATAAAAAATAAGTTAAATTAAAAATAAGAAATTTATTTATTTTACTTCTTTTTTTTTTTTTTATGCTTTTAATATTTTCGCAAAGTTTAGAAAGTGTTTGGCTATGAATACTTATTTTTATATGTTCTCTCTTTTTTTTATATTACGAAATTTAGATGTGTTTTGTTTAATTTTATTTTAAATATATTTTTCTTGTTTTTATTTTAATTTTTGCCTCTTTTTTTTGTAGCTTTTTGGCTTGCCCAAAGGCCAACTTGGACCGAGTTATTTGGACTCAGGCCGAGTACTTTGCTCGAGCCTGGCCCGAGTCGATCATTCAAATTTTGTGAGTTGTGACCCAAAGAATAGATGAGTGAAACAAAAATAATGGCACCCTTAGATTTTTACAGTATTTTTCCAGCCTTGCAATTATCTTTGTTTTACCATGGCCATGGGAAAATTTGATTTATTGTCATGAGATAGATCAAACCAACAAAATGAGATTGTCGACAAAGAGATTATTTATCTTCTATACATGGAGGTCACGTTTATTAGATATCAAATTGAATGGCTTGAGATGAGTCACGAAGTATGAGAATTTTTTTTAAAACTTTTTGTCTATTCAATGACACTTTGACAACCACCCATTTTAAAATTTAAAGGATAAAAAAGATTTTGACCTCCACGTACAAAAGATATATAGTCTCTTTATAGGCCATGTATTAGCATTAAGTTATATCCCGTTATTCTTCTTTTCCTTTTGTGTTCCCTACTTTAATAAATGAATTTCAAAATTAAGCTTTTTAATAAATGAATTTCAAAATTAAACTTGTCAGAGCTGCTGGAGGAGGTGGGCGTCGTTTTGCGAAAGGCTGCTCCTTTCTACCGAACAAGAAGAAAGCAATAATTTTAGTGCGGAAGAGGGGTATGATGTATATTTTTGCATGTGATAGGGTTAGTTTGAAAATATATTGTGGGAATTTCTTGGGTAAGGATAGGGACGATCACTTGTCTCTTATAATTCGAATGAATGCTATTGAGTGCGGCCACCCTAGTAAGATGCACCTCTAAATTTTGTCCAAAGATATAGTTGCAGTATCGGAAAACTTACAATGGTTTGAAAATTGATGTTCAATTATTAAATTTAAAATTATAAAAATAATATGTAAAATCTTGAAAACAGACGGTCTAGATAACTAATTACAATAAGCATTATTTGTTGGACTTAAATTTTTTTTCTTTTTTCTTTTATATCTATACTTCTCGAAGTTGAAGGTATATTGTAACTAGTTACAATATGCACTATTTTTTTTTTCCTTTATATGTATACTTTTATTAGTATAAGGTTACAAACTTACATAAATTCTTTGCAGTGCTATTTGCTCCAATATTTCTAGTCCCACAATAAGTTTTGGGCGGGAATGCAAGTTAGGCCAAAAGTAATCTTGGCACCCCTGTTTTTAAGTGGGACAGCAGCAAAACATGAGGGAATAAAATTACATTTTAGTAAACAAATGGCAGCTACATGAGAAGAAAGATGGAATCCAGTTTTGCTTGTTTTTCTCCTAGTGTTTATTACTGTTCTAACCCTACCCCAAAACAAATGACAAATAAATTAACAAACATGCAAAAGAACCTTGTGTCACCTAATAAATGACTATGATTAGGTGCTTGTTTTCTAAGGACTTACTCTTCCCACTTAGTTTTTAAATTGCAAACCAAGAAAAAAAATGAAGAAAATGTAAAAGCAACCTTGCACAATAATATTGTATAGCGCTGTGGCCATAAATAATCATAGTAAGGCGCACCTGTAAAATAATGTTGAAAGATGTTTCAATGCTAAATTTTTTTTATGATAGCCTAAAAACTTATTTTTATATCTAATTATAAAATTTAAAGCTTAAAAATTAGTGTAGATCAAGCATATATATGAATACTTGATATTTTTTAAAATTGACGGTCTAGATAATGCATTACAATTTGTATTATTTTCAAGACTTGAAATCCATTATCTCAAGGTCGAGAGTATAAGATTTGAGGATTTTTTTGGCACTGAAACAACTTCTTATAATAAATTTTTTATGTGTGCCTTAATTTGATGGGTGCGGTTTGCATAGACCTGAGGCTCTAAACAATCAAAGTAAAGTGCACCTTCAAATAGTATCGAAAAACGTGGTTTCAATACTGGACATCTTTGTGATAGCCTTAATATATATTTTCATCACTAATTATAAAATTTAAAGTTTCAAAAATAGTACAGATCGAGCAGATCTATGAAAAAATTGATAATTGACAGTCCAAAAATGCATTACAAGATGCACTATTTCCAAAACTTGAAATCCTTTTTTTTTTCTGATGTCCATGCATCTTGAGGTCAAGATGATCGATTTGAGGATATTTGAGCATCAAAACAATCTCTTCCAGTGATTTTTTTTATGTGCCCTAATTTGATTGTTTAAAGCCTCACACTTGCATAAATTTTTTCCTCAGTTCATTGTTTAAGGCCTCCATCTTATATAAACGTTTTT